TTATGTGAAACAAATACTAACAGAACTAAAGGAGGAAATAGAATGCAATGCATTCATTTTAGGAGACTTCAACACACCATTCACTCCAAAGGACAGATCCACCAGACACAAAGTACTAAATTAAAATATGTACTAAAATTTCCTTAATAGATGACTCTAAACACTGTTAAATCCTCTCAAGTGATACCTTATTCACTTCTGCCCAAGTCTGTAGAAATCCTTTAAGTGGTTCACTGTTATCTCGATTTTCAGGAATCATTTCTAAAGGCCCAGGAGGTAACAAAGGCTGTTACAAAAAATAAGAAAAGAAAGTTGATGATTGTTTGTCACCCTGCCCTAGAATTGGAGCTTGAGGTTTTTAACTACTTTACTTTCAATTTCAACAACCGGGGTGACTCATCACTGGCACTCAAAAACAGTTTAATGAATAATGTCAGGTATCCTGTAAAGTAATAGCATGTAGTATCTCATCTAATCCTGTTAATAATCCAGTGAATGAGATACCATATTTTAAAGACACTGGAATGAAACTTAGAGAAGTTAACTTGTCTAAAATTACACTGCCAATAACTGAAATTATCAGGAACTGATTCAGATTAGTCTAATTTCATTACTCGAAATTATTCTAGGCCAGTATTTTTTAAATCACAAGTCACAACCCATGGGTCATGAAATCATTTTAATATGTCACAACCAGTGATGTGTTTCAGTGAATGAGAAATAGAAAATACAAAAGTGCATCACATATAGTAATGGTATCATTTCACAAAAATTGTTTCAGTTGTCTGTGTGGAATAGGTTCAATGTAAATATATTTCTTATTGTGGGTGGACGTTTTGAAAAAATTTGAAAGCTACTTTTCCCACTGCACCTTAATTTACAATTAGGTCCCAAATCACTAGCCTAATTAGTGCTATTTTCCAATTTATAATTAAGCTCTTGGATATAAAGTGTTAAAAATAGGTGCTCTTGAATTAAAAATATAATCTTATTTAGACAATAAATTTGGTATGTAAAACTCTCTCCACTCACCGATCGTATAAAATTAAACTAGAGCAAAGGATCCCCCATCACTATTATTACATATTATTTACTAATATTGATAACTAATATTTATTGATTACTAAGTCCTTAATACAATGTAAGGAACTATACAGGTATTATTTCATTTAGCCCTTAAAATAACACCCCTTTGAGGTTCTTATTATTGTTGCCATTTTAAAAATGGGTAAACTGTGGCTCAAAAGGTTAAGTAATCTATCCACAACCCATAGCAGGTAAGCCTACAGTAATACAGAATCTAACCCAGTCTTTATAACTTTGAAATCTTATCCATTAAATCATGTAACAGTCAAATATTAAATTAATAAAATAAAAATTAATCATAATTTAATGACCTTGCAGTCTTGTTTCAAACACTTCAAATTTTTCAGTTCTTTACTGAGTTAATGTATTCTATTTGTATTCTTTCTTACATTTTCATCTGCTACTAATGTTGGCTGGGTTGGGCTTGCTGGTAATGAAACTCCTGAAGGATCTACTTTTAGTAATCGCATTGACCTTCTACATCCAGTCCCATTTTCTCTCTTCTTAGGCTTCTTTCTAAAGAATGTAAAGGAGTGGGAAAAAACTCAGATTATACTCATGAAATGGTTATATGTATTTACTAATATTAAGGAGATAACTTCTAGGAATACTAGGAATATATCTCAAAGATATATTTATACACTGCAAAGATATGTGTATATGGCTACACTGATTTTAGCTGAAAGTCTGGGAATATCAAATGTTCATCATGGGGAAGGGAGAGATGTTAAGTAAATTATGACATACATATCTAACAGAATAATATGCAGCCATAAAAAGAATTAAATAGATCTTTGTGTGCTAATATGACATGAACTGTAAGATATAAGAAGCAAAACAAGGTCCAGTACTTGTTGAATATACTTCCATTTGTTTGGTTTTTCTTTTAACTAAAAGGTTACATATACACATACATTTGTACATACTGAGATTACTTATAGAAGAATATACAAGAAACTATTAACAGTGATTTCCTCCAGGCAGAAGGTCTGGAGAACTAAAGTTCAGGATGGAAAAAAGACAAATGTTTCATTGCATCCCCGTCCATACAGTTTACTTTTTAAATCATATACATACCCTGCTATTTTATGTGCTATTTTTTCATTTAAAAAAAGTAGTTCAAGTGTAGCACAGAGAAGGCAAATAGTGAACCTGTGGCATCTTACTACACTGATTGCATTGGGGTATGGGTGAGGACTTGATAATATGGGTAAATGTAGTAACCACATTGTTTTTTCATGTGAAATATTCTTAAGGGTGTATATAAATAATATCTTCATAAAAATTTTTTAATTAAAAAAAAAAGTTCAGAATTTCCAGCTTCCAGTCTGTATGTAAGGAGCTTGAAGGTCACTGTGTCTTACCAAGTAAAAAGCTGAACACACCAAAAAGTCAACAACTTTCCTAGGATCCTTAAGAGAGGTGAAGATCCTTAAGAGAGCTGACCCCAATATTGGGGAAACAGACAAGCAGATACAAGAAGTCACAGCTTACTGGAGAAGACTCAGAAACAGAAACCACCATACGAATCAGTGCCAGGATAGGAAAAACCTGAACTGTAACTGACCAATTGCTGGAGGCTCAGTGTGGCAAGTCTGAGAATTAGAAATCCCAGGATGATCAACAAAAGAACCTACACATGATGTTTACTGCAGCTCTGCTCATAATTGCCAAAACTGGGAAGCAACCAATATAGCCTTCATTAAGTGAATGAATAAACTGTGGAATGTCTAGAGAATGGAATATTATTCAGCACTAAAAAATGAGCTATGACAGAGAAGACAAGTAGTGACTCTGTAGCATCTTAGTATGCTGATGGACAGTGACTGCAATGGGGTGTAGGGGGTGCTTAATATGGGTGAATGTAATAACCACAATGTTGTTCATGTGAAACCTTTATAAGATTGTATATCAGTGACACCTTAATAAAAAAAAATTTTTTAAAGAGCTATGAAGCCATGAAAAGATGTGGAAGAACCTTCAATGCATATTACTAAGAGAAAGAAACCAATCTGAAAAGGTTACATACTCTATGATCCGAAATACATGACATTCTGAAAAAGCCAAAACTATGCAAACAATAAAAAGACCCATGGTTGCCAGAGATGGGGATCATAAGGGGATGAATAGGCAGAGCACAGAGGACTTTAGGGGCAGTAGAAGTACTCTTTATATCATAATGGTGGATATAAGTCATTATTCATTGGCACAAACCCATAGAACGAACACTACCAAGAGTGAACTGTAAGGTAAATGATGATTATGATGCATTAGTGTAGGTTCATCCTTGATAACAAATGTACCACTCTGGGGAATGATGTTGACAATGGGAGAGGCTATGCACATGTGGGGATGAAGATATCTGGTAAATCCGTGTACCTTCCTTGCAATTTTGTTGTGAAACTGAAACTACTCTAAAAAAGTCTTTAGAAAAAAACTCAAGGACTCACCCCTCAATTTTCTGAGATTTACATCCAGAAACTCAACCAGCTCCTCACAGTTATATCAGAGAAGAATTATCTCATGCTTCCCACATAGGAGGAGGTGCAGCACTTTGAAATGGGGCATTCGTTCTTCTTAACATGATCTACTTTCAGGAGAAACTACTTACCCAGAGCCTAACCTGTTAGGGTTTTATCAGAGCCTAACTAACCTGGGAGAAGGGAAAAATCCAACTCAAGCCCACTCTTACTGTCCTCTCCCACCTGAGGTGAGAGGGTGGATAGGGTAGGGGCACTAAAACATTTGCAAAGTCCAGAGGCACAGGCTAACTAAAATTTGACTGAGACCTGATCACAAGACTACAGAATGCTTCCCCTCCCCCAACAAACATTACAAAAGGCCTATTTACAATAGTTTCTTTTTCCAAGTACATCACATCTGGCTATCAGGAAAAAATTAAAAGGCATACTGAAAGGCAAAAAACACAGTTTGAAGAGACAGAGCAAGCCTTAGAATCAAACATGACAGGGATGTTGGAATTACCAGACTAGGAATTTACAACAACTATGATTAATATGTGAAAGGCTCTAATGGACAAAACAGACACCATGCATGCAAGAAGAGATAGACCATGTAAGCAGAGAGACAGAAATCTAAGAAAGTACCAAAAAGAAAAGCTAGAGATCAAAAACATTAAGAGAAATGAAGAATGCCTTTGATGAGCTTATCAGCAGACTGGACATGGCTAAGGAAAGAATCTCTGAGCTTGAGGATATATCAATAGGAACCTTGAAAACTGAAAAAATAAGGAGGAAAAAAAACTGAAAAAAAAAATAGAACAGACTATCCAAGGACTGCGGGGTAACTACAAAAAGTATAATATACCCATAAATGGGAATACTGGGAATACCAGAAGAAAAAGAAAACAGAACAAATATTTGAAACAATAACTGAGAATTTCCCCAAATTAATGTCAGACACCATGCCACAGGTCCAAGAAGCTAAGAGAGCATAAAACAAGATTTTAAAAAACCTACACCTAGGCAATTCATTTCCAAACTAAAGAAAATCGAAGATTAAAAAAAAAATTCTAAAAGTAGCCAGGAGGAAAAAAGCATCTCACTTATAGAGGAGCAAAGAATTACACCTACCTTCTCAGAAACCATGCAAGCAAGAAGAGTGGAGTTAAATAGTCACAGCATTGAGAAAAAAGCCAACCTAGAATTCTGAATTCTGGGAAATTATCCATCAAAAGTGAAGAAAATAGACTTTCTCAGACAAATAAAAATTAAGGATTTGTTGTCAGGAGACCTGCATTGAAAGAAATGTAATCATATCACACATATACATAAGCTTATGTATGCTTATATATAAGTGAAATGAATTACAACAATGACACAAGGGACAAGATAGAGGAATTAGGATTATTTTGTTATATTAAGATCCTCACACTACCCTTGAAGTGATAAAATGTTATTTGAAAGTGGGCTTGGATTAGCTGAAAATATTTAATTGTACACTCTAGGGCGACCACTAAAAATAGTGAAAGAAGAAGTACAACAGATATCCTAAGAAAGGAGAGAAAAATGAAATCATATAAAAAGACTCTTTAAAACCAGAAAGGCAGAAAAGGAGTGGAGCAAAAATAGGGACAAAGAACATGGACAAGAAGAAGCAGACAGTAATAAATATGGGAGACATTAATCCAACTATATCAGCAGTTACTTTGAATGGCAATGGTCTAATGCACCAATTAAAAGAGATTGTCAGAGTGGATCAAAAAAACAACACCCAAATATATGTTGTCTACAAAAAATCTATTTTAAATATAAAGATACATTTAGATTAAAAGTGTATGTGAGTTAGATTAAAAGTAAGTGAATGGAGAGAAATACACCATTCTAACACATATCAAAAAAAGCAGGAGTAGTTATGTTAATTTCAGAGTAGACTTCAAAACAAAAAAAGTTATCAGAGATAAAGAAGAGCACTACATAACGACAGAGGGGTAAATTCTCCAAGATGACATAACAATCCTTAACAAGTATGCACCTCACAATAGACTGACAAACTATGTGAGGAAACGCTATTAGAACTTCAAGGAGAAATAGATAACTATCTTAGTTGGGAGACTTCAACACTCCCACATCAGAAATGGGGAGATCAAGCAGGCAGAAAATCAGTAAGAATATAGTTGAACTCAACAATGCCATCCAGTAACTGGATATTATCAACATCTATAGACTACTTCATCCCAAAACAGCAGAACACACATTCTTCTCAAGCTCACATGGAACATTCACGAAGGCAGATCACATTCTGGACCATTAACCACACCTTAGTGAATCTAAAAGAACAGAAATCATACAATGTCTGCTCTTAGATCATAACTGAATTAAAAGATAACTAGGAACCACCAAAATATGAGGAGATTAAACAACACACTTCTAAATAACACATGGGACAAAGAAGAACACAAAACGTATTTTTTTAAAAAAATGAAAACACAACTTATCAAAATCTGTGGGATGCAGGGAAAACAGTGCTCAGAGGAAAATCTATAACACTGAATACACATATTAGGAAAGAAGTCTAAAATCAGTCATCTAAGTTTCCACCTTAAAAAACTAGAAAAAGAAGACAATTGATCCAAGGTAAGCAGAAAAAGGGAAATAATAAAAATTAGAACAGATGAATGAAACTGAAAATAGGAAATCAGCAGAGAAAAATCAATAAAACCAAAAGCTGGTTTTTTGAAAAGCCAATAAAATCAATAAGCCTCTAGCCAGGCTAAGAAAAAAAGAGTGAGGACACAAATTACTAATATCAGAAACAGAAGAAGGGACTCACTACAGAAAGATAATAAAGAAATAATATGAAGAGCTCCATGCCCACATATTTGATAACCTAGATGAAACGGACAATTCCTTGAAAGAAAATTTGCCAAAACTCACATAATAGACAATCTGAACAGGCCTATATCTATTAAAGTTGAATTAATTATTAATAACATCCAAAACAGAGAGCACAAGGCTGGTATGTGCACACTGGTGAATTCTACCTAACATTCAAGG